AAAAAGAAATTCTCCTTCCTTTCTTTTCGAACTTTCCTCCCTCCAAAACCTTATTTTTCTCGTTATTTTAATCGTTTTCGCAAAAAAAAAAAGGACGAGACAATACAATTTCTATCTTTCGTTTCGTTCATTCAACGGGCACGAGGTCGCTTCTCTTTCAATTCTTCCCTTCCCCCCTGCATGGCAGGCCGCCACGTACGCGGCAGATACGTGATTTTCGCTCGCATCCCGGCCAAGCTGGTGTGTGCGTCTGCATGTGTTGTGCGCGGAGATACACCTCTGGCCGGGGTGATCGTTATCGTGATCAACGGCACGATCGTTTAGTTGGCCGTAAATCCCGCTTCCCACGCGGGAACCACCGCGAATGAATATTCAGCCGGGCCCTTTCGGGCGCTGCCGCGACCTACAGACAGACTCGACCTACACTCGAGGAACGTGCCGCGTCGCAGGTTTAACACGAATACGTAACATCCGTTTTACCTGCGACCTACCTTCACCCCTCACGCGTGCATGTGTCGATAGCCTCCGCCCACCCACGCCACCTTTCCTTTCCGTGAATTACACACCGCGCGAGCAAGGGAACGATCCCGCTGAAAGGAAGATCGCGCGAATATCGCGTGATTGCGTAATCGACACGGGTACGAATGATCGTGCGAGAAGACTTTTGTTTCCTTATTTAATCGGATTCTTTCTTTTCTTTTTTTTTTTTTATTTTGGACGCTCTGTTAATTTCATTGTCGAAATTTCGGCTAATGAATTCTTGTATCACGGTATAAAAGAATATTCGAACGTTTAAAAGACTTAAGGGATAGAAAGGGTTTAAACTTGTAATTTGTCAAAATTATTTTAATCGTTTCGTTCGCTCGATTCTTGGAACAATTTCCAAGGGAAATATAGGTTATTGGATCGCGGGTATCCATTCGGAACGCTGATTAATACCAAAGTAAAACACGACCGACGAATAATTACCACCGATGAAAAACAGATTTATAACCTGTTGATCGTTGAACGCGAGCCGAAGAAACCGTTTCTTTATAACCTTTGCTATTAATAAATCGCGGTCAAAGAAGAACGAATTTTCTTACCGAATTTTTATACCGGCGAAGAAATAAGAAAAAAATTATAAAATAACCGATTCGATTGAATCTTACACCAGCTCGTTAAAGTGTCACTAAAGTTAAAGGAAAAGCATCGATGCGCCATCGATGTGCGCTATAAATCGTGTACGTGTGCGCGTACACGGGACGTAAATAGAATACAAACGAGACGAGACGACATCCAGTATTCGTCGGAATCACTTGAACGCGGCTTGGGAACGTGCGATCGTTATTTACGATCGAGGTAGGGTTTGGGTGACGAAACGTCGTGAAAAGGGATCGGGTGACGCTAATCGATTGCGATCGATACCGCGGTTTCCCGATAGTTGGCCGGGGAACGAACGCATAGAAGGGTCTGGCTTACCTGGCCAGAAAAGCTTCCTGGTTTTGCGACTGCACGACGCCTTCGGTCTACGTGCACGCCGATATGCAGTTACTCAATTGCTGCGGTTGCGAAACAAATGGAGGGATTATTGTTTTACTATTCTTAGCCTCGGAGCTCTGGTTACGCGAGAATATATGGGAGTTCAGTCCACTCCTCCCGGAGTGTTTTGCCGGTGGAGAACACGACGCCGTTTCGTCGATGGAGTCGAGGCGTCTCTCCAAGCAGAGGGAAGAGAAGCAAATTGGCCCACTGGTCCCGGACAATGGATCGCGGCGCCAGGTCGTCCCCTCTTCCCGTTCCATCAACTTTCGCAAATTAATCGACTAATCCACCGCCACGTGCCAATTACCACGTGATAAATCGCGTAATAAGTGAGAAGATCGTTTTGACGGGAGAAATCATTCCTTGGAAAACATCCTTTCCCTCGATCCAGAAGGATTACCAATTAGCCGTAATTAACGCGGGATTTGAGACGATCCTTTCCCGCACAGAACTCTTGCCCGCTAATTAGCTATCCATAACCGCTTTCACGTGTCGCACCGGTTACCTCCGAGGAATTCCTCTTTATTTATTTACTTTTTCTTCTTTTTTTTTTTTTAACGCAACAGAAACGCGAATGGAAAGCGTGAAATTTATTTCTAGGAAGCTTGCGGGGCCTTCTCTCTATTTTATCGTTACCTTAGCGCATAGAGCTGTTGCTCGCCGTGAGATACTGCTCGGCCGGATACCTGCATAAAGATGAAATCTTACTTTCTCTGATCTATGCGCGCTTCGCCGTCCAACGCTCGCTCGTTCCCCGGCCTGAATTATAGATATTAGCTTGAAATATCGCGTTAATATCTTTGGCGGATCAAAGGTTGAAATATCTGGAAATTCGCGACAATTGCGAAAGTTTTACAACGAGGCATCAACGAGGGAGGAGAGGAGGATGGTCGTTTCTGTTATTCCAGCCGCATGGTTGGCGTCGCCACGTATCGAGAAATTTAATAAAAGGCCGTATTTTCCCGGAAATAGGTCGAGAGAGGGTATGATCGCGACTCGAATACCACGCGAAAAACCTCTCTCTCCTCGAGGTTTTCTACGAGGGGATCCGTGGGAACCCGTTCGAACAGGATCGTAAATTTCCTCGGCCGTTCAGTTATCCGCATCCATATTCCACTTCCTGCGCCCTAAAACGTCGCCATCCTCCCCCTTCTTTCTCGATCGGAATCGCGGTCACCTTTAAAGCGGAATATACCTTGTATACACCGTACACGAGTCGAAGGCATTATATTCGAGGAGAAAACTCGGCTCGTGACTCGATATATCGAAACTCTTGGACATAGACTCGGATATATATATATAAAATATCGAGGGAAGAACTGTCCATTACGAAATTATTATCGACCACAGGTGTTCGATGTTTCCACGAGATAATTCAACATCCACGCTCGCGTTCGCCTAGATAACATCTATCATAGTGGATTAGATACTCAGATACTTGCCCAAGCAAGAGGCCAACGAGAGGCCTCTGTCCAGAGAAGAGAAGAGAAGAGGCTGAGCCGATTTTCGAGTATTCGCATCCAGGATTCAAGCGGGATAATTCCGGTGCTAACGACTATTTACGAGACGGTCGATCGTTCGCGAGATGTCTGGTACGCACAGAATGCGGCGACGAATGCGAGGGGTTGCCCATAAAACCCCAACTATCCGATTATGGTCGCGCCTGCTCGGTTAGGTCTTCTTTTTTTTCTACGTCTTTCATCTTTCGTTCCCGTGGCAAGAGAACTCGCCCCGTTCTCTGCCCGCTTGCTCCGCTCTTTAGTTACGGGGATCACGTCCACTCCGTTCCCAGTATTCGATAGAGAGTTACGCGCGGCACAGGAAACGGTGTTCTCCGACCGAGAGATGGATCGTTGCAATTTCGTTTCGCACGGTATATCGATTGTGAATTATATCGATCCAAAGCAATCCAAATTTCGGCGATGGAAGAAAGAATTCCAGATCCCCAGGAGGGGATCGCGCGATCTTCCTGTGTGGCGCTGTTATCGGCGGACTTAATTCTCGAGTTTTTCGCCGCACCTTGTTCCTCCTCGAGAGCCATTTCGATCGCCAGATTACCAAAGAGAGAGGAACTTGTTCGTTCGAGGAGGGTTTAAAATTCGATAAGGAATCGATGGATCCGCTCGAGGCTATGGGAGAGAACCGTTTCCCCGGCTTTTACGCGTCCTTAATAATACTTGTGCGCGGT